GGGGGCAGGGGGGGGGAGGGGGGCAGTGGGAAGCAAGCTCAGGCTGGGGCTCCGGGGCCAGGAGGTCAACTGGAAGTAAGGTGACCCATGTGAGGCAGTCTGGGAGCTCCACTGAGGCTTCAGGAAGGCATCTGCCCACAAAACGCTGCATCTGACTCGATCTGGGGGCTCACTGACTCGGGCTGGCCACATCCCCTCCCTCACAATCACAGCTAAGCCGTGAGAATCCCTGGGTCTCCTTCCTAGACCCGCCAAATACTCCATCCAGTCGGAAGGAGCTACCTCTCTCCGCCCCTGCCCCGCCAGGTCCAGAAAATCTGCGGTTGCCATGGTTTGGGGGGCAGGTCCCAATAGAAGCGGCTCTGAACCTCAGTTCTACCGCACTGATCCATCCCCTCCAGGGCCGAGTTCCCGGACCACCAGCTCGGGCACTGCTTAATAGGCGCCGGTGCACATGCGCCGTGGGTCCCGGGCGGGGGAGGCGGGGGTTGCGTCACAATCATCCTGGTCTCTCAGACACTGAGTAACCCAACAGCGCCGCTGGTGTAGTGGTATCATGCAAGATTCCCATTCTTGCGACCCGGGTTCGATTCCCGGGCGGCGCAGGTCCGTTTTGCGATTTCTATTTTTTTCCCCCTCTCTGTTGCTCTCCAGCTAACCGCACAGATTGAAAAGGAAGAACAGAAATACGGCAACTTTGGCCACCTATGTCACTGATCGAGAGGCCATCACCATGCCCAATTACTGAGTGCTTGCGAGGGCAGCACGAGCGAGACCCCGGGCCGATCGAGAAGTTTCAGGGAAGGGATGGCGCTATAGAAGCCGACAGGGTGACTGAGCAGTGCAGTGACTGAACCAGTCGCCAGAGCGCTTCGTCTCATGTCACGCATTCGCCGGCCGCTCCAGACAGGGCTTGGGGTGGTTGCGAGCCCTTTAAAGAGCGGCGCGCGGCCTCCTGGGAGTTGTAGTACGTTGGGCCCGCGGCGCCGCGGTGTGGCCTAGGACGCAGCACAGGTAATACAACTCCCAGTGCGCCCCGCGCCCACCGGACTACAGCGGCCGGCATTCCCCGCGGCAGGGCGATCCCGTGGGCAGCGATGCTGGTGGCCGCGGCGGCCGAGCGGAACAAGGAGCCCATCCTGCGGGTGCTGCAGCAGTACGTGGATCCTGCCCAGCGCGGCGTCCGCGTGCTAGAGGTGGCCTCGGGCTCCGGCCAGCACGCGGCCCACTTCGCGCGAGCCTTCCCCCACGCCGAGTGGCAGCCGTCCGATGTGGACCAGCGCTGCCTGGACAGGTGCGGTCCACAACTGTGTCCAACGCTCGCCGTCCTTCCCCGAAGCCACCCGGGCAGCGCGCCAGGCGGGCCAGGGCAGCGGGTTGACTCCATCGGAACCTGGGGTGGTCCTGGCTTCCCTATCCTCTGTGTGACCCCCTTCTGGACTTTCCCCTCCAAGTGTCCCTGAGGTGGGCAGAGGGAACATCGGGATATGGGCATCCCATTGGGCCCTCATCCTCTGCACTGTGCCCGCAGCATCTCAGCCACCACACAGGCCCAGGGACTGGCGAACGTGAAGGCCCCGTTGTATCTGGACGTGACGTGGGGCTGGGAGCAGTGGGGCGGAATCGGGCAGCAGTCCCTGGACTTGCTGCTGTGCATCAACCTGGCTCACATCAGCCCCCTGCGCTGCACCGAGGTCTGTGGGGCTAGGGAGGTAGCTGGCCAGGCCCTGGGTGGCCTGGGGAGGGCGCCTCACTGCCCTCTGCCTCCCCCACCCAGGGGCTGTTCAAGGCTGCTGGACACCTGCTCAAGCCCAAGGCGCTGATGATCACGTATGGGGTGAGCCCCTGCTCCCAGAGATGGCTCCCTGCCCCCTGCCTCCCACCCTGCAATCAGTCAGGCCACCTATTTTCTGGATTCAGTACTGATCATCTTCTTTCTCCCCTCCTGCTCAGCACCCCTCTCCCTGGAGCTGGGGACTCCCCATTACCACAGGCCCCCACTCCTGGCTGAGGCAAGCATGCCACCCCATTCCACCCCTCCCCTCCCCAGGGGGTGGTTGTACCTGTGAACCTTCCCTCACCACCTGCCATGAACATGAAAGCAGGTGAAAGCGTGCAGCCGCTTCCTCGGGCCCTGCAGCCGGGCTTCTGCTAGCCCTCCCTTGCCGCTCTATTACCCCACCCCCTGCCCCCACCCCGTTAGCCTAATGCCTGACTGAGGAGTGGCAGCTCCGATTGATTTCTGACCCCCGCAGCCCTACTCGGTCAATGGGAAGATTTCTCCCCAGAGCAACGTGGACTTCGATCTCACACTCAAATGCAGGTCAGGCAAGTGGGCAGGTGGTGTCAGAGTGAGAGGTGGGGGCAGAACGGGAGGAGGGATCCAGCACTTTCCAACTGTTGCCCTGCCACCTTCTACCTGCAGGAACCCTGAGTGGGGGCTGCGGGACACGGCCCTTCTGGAGAACCTAGGCCAGGCCAGTGGACTGCTTCTAGAGCGGATGGTAGGGGCTGGGGGGTGGGGGGGGCCGGCAGGCGGCCTGGGACCAGAGCAGCCTTACCTTCTTCAGGTGGACATGCCTGCCAACAACAAGTGCCTGATCTTCCGAAAAACCTGACCGCCTCTCCAACCCTCCTCTGAGGGCCACCAGCCTCCCGCTGTACTGGGCTTTGGGGACTTCTAGCCTGCAGTCTTGCTGCCTCAGAATAAAGTGTACCTTGCTTGCAGCCCAGCTTCTGTTCACGCGCTTCTTTCTAGGGGCTGTCCTCCAGGGCAGGCAGGAAGGGGGTTGCACTTGGGCAGTGGAGGAGGGCAAGGAAGGGGGTAGGGGTCACCCAGGTAAGGAGGCCAAGGTGCAAGGGTTCCCACGAGTGACATGTTAGCAGTGTTAGCAGTCAAAGCCCCAATTTGGGGATGGAAGGGGTCCCAGTGGCTCTCCCAAAGCCCTGTGCTGATGTCAGGAGGGTCACATGAAAGGATTGGGTCACTTAGGGGAGGCCACCAGGTCTGGGAGGAACCCTTTTATTCGACGGGGGGAGTGGGTTGGGGTCCTGCCAGCCGAGGGGTGCACTTGGGGCTGGAGCCCGCCTAGGGCTAAGGCTAGGGCCTGGACTGGGCTGGGGCTAGTCCTGGAAGCGGTTAAGCAGCTCGCAGGCCTTCTTCTCCATTAGCTCTATGATTTTCCGAACCCTTTTCTCGCTGGCGGCGCGCACGTAGCTGCCAGCATCCAGCACAGCCACTCCGTCCCGGACTTCGCCCATAATAACCAGTGGTCCGTCGCCAGCTGTCACATTGGGGCACGGGCAGGCCCAGTCCATGCCCAGCAGCGTCACCTCCAGGTATCTCGTACCGAAGAACTGCAGGCCCATCTTGTCGTCTTTGAGGACGTCGTCCAGCGCCACGCGGGCGATGCCACCGCCCCCAGCTGCCTCAGGCTCCTGGAGCACCTCGGTGAGCCGCCCCACAATGGCGAAGTCACTGCGGCACAGGCTCAGCGCCAGCCGGCTCCGGAGGCGGCAGGCGCGGCAGGGCGGAGTGCGTGGCACAGGGCAGGCATCCTCGCAGGCCTCGCGGCTCTCGAAATTGTTGCCATTGCCCTCGCAGCCGCCGTATACGAATGGGTGGCACTGGTGCAGCAGCGGGCTGTAGGCCCAGCGAGGCTCCCGGCCCGGGCACGGGCCCCGCACGGCCGGCAGCACGCAGGCGTCGCCAGGGCCGGCCACGCAGGCTTGCTGGCATGCCTCATACGTTTCGAAGCCTCCTCTCTCCCCTTCGTCGCAGCCACTGGCCCCAAAGGTGGCACAGCTGCCGCGCTGCGGGTCAAAACGCCACAGCAGGCGCAGGGTGGCAGGACCCGCGCAGGGCTGCGCTGCAGGCGCGGGATCGCATGGGGCCGGCGAGGGCTCTGGGGGCTTGCGCAGGAGGCCCTGGGCTGGCGCACCCCGCTGCACCACCGAGAGCGGGAAGTCGGCGCGCAGCAGGCCCGCGGCGTTGCGGGCTGTGCAAGTGTAGAGCCCAGCGTCCTCAGGCCGCGCGTTGTACAGTACTAGCTGCCCAATGCTGGTGACCACCACGTTGCCGTACATCTGGTCGGGGCGCAGGATCAGGTTCTCAGGTTGCTCGCTCTGTCGCTCCCAGGTGATGGCGGGCGGGGGGCGCCCGCTGACGTCGCAGTGCAGGCTGGCAGTGCCCCCCACAGCCACAGCCTGCGG